AGTTTGATGCACACACTTGCACTGCTATCTCTCTGATTCCATCTCAGACTCATTCCCTTTATCTGCCTAATGCAAATACGCCTCTACACAGTAGGGAGGGCAAAACATACCAGCCGATTTTTTTCTTCTCCCCCCCAAAGCACACACACACGCTTAACACACAAGGACTCACTTGTATTGTTTTTAATCTGTACTAGCATGCTGGATTCCTCTTGACTTTGACAAGGAGACACGCCCCCTCTGAATTCATTCAGCTGTGTGTGAATCTGTGTCAGTGTGTGTGTGCGCACATGTCTGCCTGCTATTTATAGTACGTGTAGAGATACACAGAAGTGACATAAATGTAGAGAGCAAGAGAGAATGATGTATGTTTTTCAGAGTATCTCCATCGCGCCAGTGTGTCAGTGTCTGACTTCAGTGACAGTATGTGCGCTGCCTTTGCATCTGTGCGCACACGTGCTGAAATATGACTTCCACTGTGAGTGTGCGCAAAATCGTGGCATTGACTTGGTGTGTTTTTGTTTGAGAGCGACAGAGAGAGAGGCTGTCAGGCAGGATGTGCTGTGTGATAGCCTGTGTGTCCAACAGAGAGAAGCGCCGCCAGTGCCAGGCTGCGCTGTAGAGATTCCACTACGCATAGGCGTTTCTGATCTCTTGTTACATTCAGTCATGCCCTACATTGGATGGTTTAATTATGGTCCTTTTCATCCCCTGAAATATGGAATTTAGTCAGTAAAATGTGCTGCAGAGACATGTATAATTGCATCACTTATATCCGGAGGTATAAAGAGAGACCAGTATCCAAAGAATTTGATCCTCAGCACCTATCGGAGGCGTTGCACTGAAGCTGTGAGGTGATTTAAAAATTACCTAGATTACTGCTGCATCCCAAATTACATACTTTCTCTGTAAAGTACATACTGCACCTGCCCTTACAAAGATGAACTGTTGCATGGAATAGGCATACTAATTCATTATAACATTGTACCTTGAACTTTGACCCTCTTGCGCATATATCCTTGCAGTCGAAATTGCCATGTATTAATGTATTAATCATGCACGCAAGTCACAAAAAATATGTAGTACTTAACACTTGAATGCACTGTCATCCGTCATTGTTGCATCAGTCAGCTGTCACTGAGCTGTCATCTGTCTGCAGCTCAGTTGATGTGACGCATCATCTGCTGTGCAAAGTATTTTGGGTCTGAATAGACAGGAAAGCTTGCAGTAGGACATCCTGCTATTATTGGCTTACTGCATTTAACATACTCTGTTTTGGGAAATACTAAATCTCTTCTGGCATACGAAAATATATGGTAAATTGGAACCAAGTTGTAGCCTCAGGGGCTGAAAAATGAAGCCAACATGGAAGTGCCAATAACTGCATTTTTTTTTTTTTTTTTTTTTTTTTTTGAATGGCCACTTGAGGCTGGCTCCTGAAGCCACTCAGTCCCCATAGACCCCCGTGTTAAAATGCCTAACTTTACAGCAGAAGTAAACAGAAATAAACATGGGGGATTTGTTTTTTTTTAAACTATTACTAGTTCACATTTATTAAGGCTTAAAGTTTGGCATAATTAAGGGCGTTTCCACTTTGAGTTATGGGCCATTTGCTGATAGTGTCCTTGGCTTCTTAGTCAGATACACCTCTTGCTTCTTCACAGCTCCAGCCTGTTGCCTAAATATGGTCACATCTGGCTCCAAAAAAAACAAGATGGCGACGGCCAAGGTTTTAAAACAGGAGCCTACAAACCAATGGGTGGCATCAGGGTGGTTACGTCCATTATTTTTTCAGTCTAGGATTGGAACGTGCTGTAAATTAGTGCCGTAGTGTCTTTCGGCAAGGAGCTAGATTTACGTCTTCCCCAAGTTGCAAGCTGCACAGGTGTTGATTGCAAGTTCTTACCTCTCAACTCTCTAAAGTACTGTATGGATACATCTTGTCTTCTTTATACTACAAGTACTATCATTTGCAGGGCTACATGAGAAGCAGCTGGATAGATGTGTGATAATCAGCTTGTAAATGCTTGTCATTCATCTGATTTTCTAGTAAGTAGAACAATGGCCAGTGGCAGTTTAACTGTACAGCACAGAGTGATGGCACAACCATCTGGTGTCTTTCTAATTCAGTTGGATTTTAAAGTCCTGATTCAAAGAGAGCACCTTTTTTTCAACCATCATGAGGAAACATTTGTTCTACATACCTTGAATGTTGCAGAGAAAGGCAAAATATTTAATTACCTTCATCTAAAACTTGTACTTCAAGACTGAAATTCCTGTTAGTTTGCAGCCACACACACACAAACAAACAAACACGCAGCTTTACCCCCATAATAACCCAATATCAGTCCCACACTGATGATGTCGTCTCTCCTTCCCAGCTGTCATCGTGAGCGGCGTGAGTGACAGCGGTCATCCACCAATGACGGCTCATTAATCAAAAGTGCCAGCAACACCTATTATTGCGCCATGCTGTTACCATGGTGACAGGAGGAGGGGACGGCTGAGATCTACCTCAGCTTTGCCCCTTGCGCTCGGTCACTCAAGGCCCATGCCAATCAGTGCCAGTCAATGCCAGTTTGAATTGGCAGGGCTATATATCATAATAGATGGACTGCTCTCCCAAGTGGCCAAGTTGCACATATGGAGCAACTGGGGAGAGATGGCAGCTGTCAAACAGTTACAGTTTTATGAAAATTAGTGCTTATACACAATACTTTATATTCTGACTTTACATATTAGTTAGTTTTTTTTTTGTTTGTTTTTTTTTGCAGTGGATGCAGATGGTTCTGGATGGTTAGATTTTGTGTTACTGTTCTTACAAAATAGATAAATATTTCTCTCATCACAGCTGCAGTGAAGTCAGATAGACAGAATTTATAGCTATCTGATACATTAATGGTAATAATGTAGTTTTATTCAGGATGCACACAATAATGCAGCAACAAGTTGAGTTTTTAGATAGGGTGCAGCTATACTGTTCACCTTTCAGCTAGACACACTGTGACCATACAGTATCTGATTGCAGTTCATGTGTTCCTTTTGTTTAGGGCCTTATTTATGTCTTTTTAGTTTACCTTTATTTAACCAGATAAGTCAGTTGAGAACCAATTCTCATGTACAGTGATGACCAGGCCAAGAGGCAGTGACAGGACGCAAGTTGATACAAGACATTTAAACATAGATACAGCTAGTGCAATAAAACATTATTAGTATAACTAGGGATGAGAACAATCAATCAGTGGTCCACTAATTGGTCGTTATGAATCTGATTGAATATGTGAAATGTAATCGATCAAATAAAGATCTGATTCTGAAATATAAGCAATGCATAGTCTCCTATTACGTTCTAGCTATCAGTTACTTTCTTTACTTTCTTCTTCCTGGGTGGGAAATAAGGCTTCGACGACTGTACGCCATTCATCTAGGTGTTGTGCTACTTTCTGTGCCTCTCCCCATGTAAGCTTCATTTCTTTCAGCTCCCCTTAAACTGTTCTCCGCCAGGTGTTCTTTGGCCACCCAGGATTACGTTTTCCAGGGGGTGTCCATCGTTATGCTACTTTCGGTATCCTCTCCTTGTCCAGGACGTGGCCTAGCCATCTGAGTCGCCAGTGTTTTATTTCAAGGACCACATCTCTGCATCCTGTCCTGGACTTCCAGATTGGCTGAAGTCTTGCGAATGCAATGCCCCTCTAGCTATCAGTAGACTGGTGTATTTTGAAAGCATGTTTCAGGCATTAGCAAACAAAAGGTGCAATATAACTGTTTTATGACACAGCGGCCATCTTGGGGTTTGGTGGAGGAGCATGGCAGTGGCATTAGAAAAAGAAGCCAGCAAAACAAAGCATTTTTCAATTATATTTAATGTGTTTAAATGTCAACATGTGATATATATATATTTCATAATCTATGCGGTCATGTCAGAGAATATGCAATATGGTGCTGTGAGCATTGATTAAGGAAAAATCGTATTTGGTATTGTTTGGTGTAGGCAAAGTTTCTGTTTTTTTCAAATTATGACCAATAAATTAATTGATCGTTAATGTTACCAATGATCTATGAAGAAGTGCTTACAATTTGCAACCCTACTTTGTACTGTGTTCCATAGAAGCAAATTAAAAAACAGGTGCAGTGATCAGAAACTGTTGCTTGTAATCAATTATTAAAGAACAGTAACTGAATGAAGGTGTGGAGCATCTTTTGCAACACATTTCAACTGCAGTGAGTGAGGGCCAAGAAAAGGGCGGACATCAGAAATGACCATTCTAACATATATGCTACAACATAAATTGTGGTTACTGTTGGAGATATAGTAAGCTGAGTTATGGAGGTGTTTCGCCAGTGATAGTTTTATAAATGAACTGATTTCAGTGGATCTTTCGCCTTGTATAGAGTGAAGGCCATCTGACAAGAGAATACAGGTTACAGTGATGAGTGTTGAAGGGGGCACTGGTTACAAAGCGAATGGCAGTGTGGCTGTCTGAAGTACTCTGCTACATTTCTAGCCGATTAGATGCAGCACTTGTAAGGAAGCACAAAAATGGACCATTATCCAACGATTCCCTGTACACTTTATTTTCACTCTCTTTTTGAGGTTTTGTGTTAGCTCTAAGCCATTACTGGCGTACATGGAATATGAAATTCATTATGCTTGTCTAACCTGAGGAGGGTTTTGTAAGTTGGAAAGTAATTGAAAATAGTATTTTGATGCCCCTAATCCATTCATTTATTATCAGAGATTCAACCTTTCTCTCTGTGCCTCTCTCTTAGGAAAACACACACACACACACACACTGAAGCAAGCATGTAGATATATTCTGATCACATTCAAATTCCTCCCATGACATACTTAAAAACTGCAGCTCTTAGATTCCTTAAAACATCACATTCCTCCTCTATTTCACATTGTTTGTCATGAGTATTTTTTAAATCTTCAATACAAAAGTGTAAACTGAGGGATTCTTCACTATATTTAATGCTTGTTGTTTGTTTCTCTGCAGCTGTCAAGAGTGCCAGTGGAGGCCTGTGGTCAGTACTCAACCTGCAGCGATTGTCTCGGGTCAGGAGATCCCCACTGTGGCTGGTGTGTCCTGCACAACATGTAAGTACTACTGGAGCTGTCATGCACACACCTATACAAACTGGGGTTGTCAACGTTTATCTGTTAATTTGTTAACTGCTGAGAATATTTTCGACTGGTAGGGCATGTTGGTCTATAGATTGATTCTGCTGCTTATCAGTTTACTGCAGTGCGCACCAACTAGATCTGGTGGGGGACAAACAGCAGGCTAGCCTTGATAGGATGCAGAAACACAGTGCCCACTCTCCTGTCTCCTCTGGTTAGCTAGCTTTAGCTGCTTTGCACTGCACACCGGCTAGTTCGGGTGGGAGTTTGCTAGCTGTGCTGCTCATTCAGCAATTACTGCTAGCAACATTGTACCGACCCAACAGCCTTGTTGTGGAAACATTGTGCCCAAACTCCGGTCACTCCGAGTAAGCGGCGCAGTTTTGGGCCTCAAACCCCCTCTTTAGCATCCTTTTTAGCTCTAGCCATTAGCAGCGTCAGCACGGCTAGTGGTGCTAACAAAGCTAACGATTCTAAAGAGAGTTTTGAAGCTTAAAATGAAGCCGCTTACTCACCGGAGCAACCTGAGGGGAGACCAGAGGATGGACAAAATGTTTCCACAGCAACTTTACTCCACCACCAGGAGGTTGTTACCGGCAGTATTCACAAATGAACAGCGCCACTAACTAGCTCCCACCTGACCTGGGTGGTGTGCAGTGCTGAGTGGCCAAGAAAGTTGCCTCATGTAAACACAGGTAAGCGGCTGTCTGTTGGCAAGGCCAACAGGAAATAAAAATAAAGCCAACAAAAAAATCAAATAAAAGGCAAGACATTTACATCACCAAACATTACAATTTTACCACCTCTGAATAGATAGCGCTTTGAAATGCAACGCTGAAGCTTACTAAGTCAATGGGGCGCCAGACCAAAAGGAAAAGCCTCTTAAAAATGAACCAGCTAGTCACTGGTTGATGGTGATGGCAGGCTCTTGAAAGCAACATTAACCAAAACTGACATCCCTAACTCAAACACACACGCACATCTGTGTTTCTCGTTGTCCCTTTCATTTTTCGGGCACAAAAGCAATATTTCCTCACTCCCCCATTCATTCACGCATACTAACCAGACTGTTTGGGGGGTGCTGTGTTTGGGTTGTTAGCCTCCCCTACCTCCATGACGCCTGGGCCCATGCCCAGCACTCTATCCCTTGCAGCACTTGAGCATTCAGGGACTCCTCTAGCCAACCCAGGCCAAGTCTCAGATTGCTTTCCTGGTGCTCGGCCTTGTGCCAGCGGCCCCCTTAGATCCATTACCAAACCTACCCACTGGCATTGTTTACCAGCCCTGAAACCAGAGCCTGGTGAGAGCACAGACACTGGTGGGCACTGCCAGGGCTCTAATGGGCACCACTCCAAACTTCAAGAGTTGACACGAGGAGAGTGATAGCTTCTGTTATTGTAACTGAGCTGGAAACTGTTGAATGAGATCTGCTTTTTTATTCTTTACCTTAAAGCTTGTCTGTCATTCTCTTTCACACACACATAGATACAGAGAAATTCACACACACCCCAGCTGCTGTCAAATCCGTGTCCCTCAAGATTGGAGTGGGAGATAGTTCTTGCTGGGGGCAGGGAGATTTCCCACTCCACTGTAAATTGAAAATTGGTTTCTTGTGTTGGTGCTAGCCCTTGGGTAGAGTGTGTGTATGTATGTGTGTGTGAGTGAGGCTGAGTACATTTAGCACCTTCATCCCTGCTGGCACTGAAAAGACATGGCCAGGGCAGAGAAGTGGTGTGAGTGTGACAGGAATATACACACTGAAAGGACGGGAGGTGGACAGGGGAGGAGAGTGACAAATAGATTGAGAAAATAAGAGATGAATGTGGAGATGACAAAGTGAGAGAGGTAAAGAATGGACTAGTAAATTCTGGGAAAAAATAACAATATCAGGATGGCTATCCTGGATACAAACTTCAAGGAGAGACGAGCTGTGAAAGAGGGGCGAAATGGGATAAAAAGAGTAAGTTTGTGTGCAGCAGAGTGAAGGAAGGAGAAATGGAGGATGAATGTGTTTGAGGTCTCCAGGGAAGAAAGTGCATTAGCAGACAGAGGACACACTCTGATGGGTTATGGGTCACCAACCAGAGGTGAGAGGCAAAGTCGCTCACACACTCATGCATGAATGTGCTATGCATCAGTCCAGATTTTCACGTTTATCACCATTTCTTGTATTGAACTTCCTCTCTAAACACTCCATACTTAAGCAAACATTAATCAGCTATGGGGGGTATTCAAGCAGATCATTTAATTTAAAAGTAATTTGTCACAAGATAAAGGAGCAGGATCAATGTAAACAACAAATTAAGGGCTACCAGTGAGCAGCCACCATGCAGAAATTTACCACTTTGAATGTGCCTGCAATTTAAATCAAATCTTAAGTGTATGCCACTGTATGTGAACATGGTCCGCATGTTTGTTTCCGTATGTGTGTAACAATCCATTAACACCCTGGACATCCTCCCAGTCAGAGCAAATGGGTGGCCACAGATTGGCCTGTCACACTTAGCCTGATAGAATCGGCTCACCTCGGCTCACCCCTCTCTACACTCGCATACACACAAGGGCAAGCCACGCACACACCTTTTTTGCTGGAGAATTAGTGTCAAGTCGCCAAAACGAGAATAGTGCCCAGCGAGACAGAGGGAGAGCGAGAGGGAGAAAATAACCAAAATGCCACTTTAGTCGATCTCAGGTGTCTAGGTGTTTGACCATCACAAGGGCAGAAAGGGAGATTACAGCTGTGTTTGTGGGTGTGTGTGGGCAACACACACACACATCCTGTCAATTGGACACACGGTTTTGCCTCCTTTTCAGCCATGCAGAACACAGACACACAAACACACATAAAATGCAGTGTGATTGATCGACCACAGGTTTACCTTTTCCAAAGTTCCTCCTCCTCATCGCCCCCCCCCCCCCCCCCCCCCCCCCCCCCCCCCCCCCCCCCCCCCCCCCCCCAGCTTGTGAATACTTAACAGGGTCTTGGTGTAACTGAAGCCCCCCTGAGCGCTACCTTTGCCACAGGGCAGGCAGCACTTTAAACTCCTGCTATAATCACTACCAGCGCTTTGCCATTCTCTCTTATATTAACCTCTGTTAGTTAAATATTTTGGTAAGACATTTTACATTGACATTACGCTATGTCGTAGGGCTGCACAAGGTATTGCTAAGTTTTTTTATTGTGACATCAGTTTAGTCCATGAGCACATTGGGAAAGACTGTGATGTTGCACTCAGGAGTTAGTTGAAAGAGAGTATTGGTAAAAAACTGCACTTTGAAATGTAGCTATGATTCTTTATTTCATTCTGAAAGCAGCAGAAAAGCAGGACTAAGTACACTTAAATATTTATTGCATATTTTCCTCATATTGTGCCACCCTATTTAACCAAACATAGGCTTTACTTTGAATTCACTACGGTCTCAAAACTCACAAACTCTTTTTTGCAGTTGCCCAAATCTGAAGCTTTTTGTTCTGATGAAGCAAATATTGTTGACATGTTGTTTACAACCCTGATTCCAAAAAAGTTAGGATGCTATGTAAAAAGTAAATCAACTTATATTCAGTTGAATACAGTAAAAAAAAATCAAGATATTTAATGTTCAAACTGATAAACTGTTGTTTTATTTTGTAAATATGCACTCATTTCTGATTGTTTTGCCTGCAGCATTTTCCAAAAACATTGGGACAGGAGCATGTTTACCACCATGTTACATCAGCTTTTCTTTGAACAGCTCTCAGTTACACATTTAGGAACAGAGTGCACTAAATGTTAGAGTTTTAAAAGTGAAATTCCTTTCTCAAGATTGACAACCGGCCCCCCCAAACTCAGTCTGTGTAGAGGGATTAGCCAAACTCCTATCTGAACACTGTGAGAGATTAATTTCTATATACAGGAAGCATCGTAAAGCTGACATTGCAAACAAATACTAATTTGATTAAACACTGATTCACAGGTGAAATTCAGTGGGAGTAGCCGTGGAAAATCTTGGCTCAGCCTCGAAGACAGTGCAGGGCTTGACGCTAACTTTTTTCCCAAGGAGCACATGTGCTCCTAAGTTGAAAAAGTAAGGAGCGCACAAAGAACTTTAGGGGCACAATGTAAATTGATCAAATAATGTGTTTTCCGTAATAAACGTGATGCAAATAGACATTTACAAGCAAAATTATTTAAAAAATTTGTATACAAAATGTACAGAAAGGTAAAATCATCAAGTTTTGAAAAAGTATTGCAATTTAATTTTGTCTTTAATGTTATTATCTTATATATATTATCTTTGCAATATGATTATCTTATATAATGTTATTACTATCCTAAAACATTCTCTAGGTCCTCTGAAACTCTGCAGGACTTAAGCCTCTTTCACACAGAGCTTTCGCTGCGCCCACTGAGGGGTAGGGCGCAGAGGACAGGATTTGGGGGAGTACAGGCTCGTTCAGGAGCTACAGCTCCATGGTGACCACTTTCGGGTGTACTTCAGGCTCTTCTCTGGTATTGGACGCGCGGCGCCGAGGTGTCGTCACAGCGCATTGCGGTGAAATTAAAAAAAATTGCAATTCGAGCGCAGGCTGGCGGTGCGCGCTGCTCAGCTTGGCAGCAGAGCGGTGCGCTCTTGTGCCGCGGTAGCACATACACACTGAATGGGTTCATCAGCGGAGGTCTGCGCTCTGTGTGAAAAGGGCTTTATTTCCGCCCTGCCCAGCAGCGGTACAGTGGCGAACGGTCTCTAAAGGCCTCTACACATGGTCAGCTGTAAAACCGCTTTGCGCTGGCTGTCCCATTGTTTGTCTATGGAGAGGGCAGCAACGCCTGACAAAGCGGCACCGCTACCCTTGGCATCGCGCACGATATTCATTATGCCGACAGTGGCTTGGAAAACCGCCCATAACCGTGTCACACGGGGAAGAGGGAAGAGGGAAGGCGACTGGAGTTCCTCCAACATTTGCGGTTAGATTATCATATTTTTTTTACTGACAA